TCTAATAGGGTGATATGGTACTACAAGGTCATTAAGATAAGATGGGGCCTGATTATATTTGCAGATGTTCTTCTTTGTGGTTTCTCTTTCCTGATGCTTCTCCCGCTCTCTCCTCTGTTTTAGCCGCTCAGGCGACATCATTGAACCTCTTCTAAGAAACCAGTGGTTTGTCCGCTGTGACGTCATGGCACAAAAAGCTGTGCAGGTCAGTTTACAGCTGTATCGATCCATGACTTGTTTCAAAAGTAAAATTTCACTGTGGTCACGGAGGTGTGGTCTTTCCCGGTCAGGCTGTCGAGGAAAGACGGCTGGAAATCATTCCTGAGTACTACACGAAGACGTGGAAGAACTGGCTGTCCAACATCAGGTTGTGTGTCGTCAGTGACACGTGTGACATGACACCGCTCTCACAATAACGCAGCTCTGTCACAGACCGCTGTGAACAATGTGCCTCTGTTTGCAGTGACTGGTGCATATCCAGGCAGCTCTGGTGGGGCCATCAGATCCCCGCCTACAAAGTGATGCTTCCCAATTATGAGGGACACCAAGAGGTCAGTGTGCGGGAGAGCGTTTGACAATATTTCAGGACAAGCGACGATAAACAGATCTACACCGCTCAGTGTATTAGTGAGCTGAAAACACGACGACTGCTCACAGATTAAACTTTAAAAGGGCCGTTAGCAAGCGCCGTAACACAGCGGTGAGACGCTACATCAGGGGTGGGAATGTCACGGCCTCGAGGTGTCCTGCAGGAGCCACAGCTGGTTCAAATGAGCTCCTCAACATGTCCTGAAGGTCTCCAGTTAATGAACTCATCGTGTGATTCAGGTGTGCTGACCCAGGGTGAAACCCTGCAGGACCCCGCCCTCGAGGCCTGGGGTTGGACACCCTGCTCTACAGCCTCAGGAAGCCTGGAGGCCAAATGCATGAACTGCAGGCTGCGTGAGCAGCGTGACGTTTAATCGAGCGTGTCTTTGCTTCCTCAGACTGTTCACGGGAAGCACTGCAGACATCCTTTCACCGACAGACTGCTGCCCATCATCACTGACTCGATGGTGGACGTGGAGCTCGGAACTGGTGACCACCACACCTGACACCTGACGTGACACTTCCTGTGGATGTGTCCGGCCCTCTGACCCGTGGCATCCGCCCACTTCCTGTTTGTCTTTTGCAGGTGCAGTGAAGGTGACTCCTGCTCACGACCACGCAGACTTTGTCCT